TATTTATTATTATGATTACTCACTCTCACAGAACGTTCTCCTTAGTCCACGACCGACTACTCCACAAGCGGGAAGATCGAGCTGACAAAAATCAGATCTACTCTCAGTCGCTCCAACAGACTGCAGCAGGTCCCAAACAAACACTCTCGATCAGCCCTCGCAGAAAAAAAAACGTCCTCCAAACCACCACCAAAAACGAAACAAAAACAAAAACACATCCACCAGTAGGCCTACAGAATACTACAGATTAAAACAGCTCACCACAACCAGGCCTGGCTTCACGCTGACGACAAATCCCCGCCAACAATGCCACTTTTGATTCTTCCATTCTTTTCTTTTAATGGAATTCAGGGGTGGCTCAGAAAGATCAATTGTCTTTTTAAATAATCGGTCGAACAAAGGAAATGCAGGGAAACGAGGGCTCAGCGAGTGTCAAGGCGTGGTGCACTGGATAATTACGAGGGTCTCGTCTTGGGGGGAAACTTATCACGGAGGGCCCAGCCCAACGGACGCACAAACAGGTTCTGTGTAAGGTACTAGACCACCATATCAGGGGGGTCCTTTTTGAAAATGATATTGGTTTAATGCTCCTATCAACACTGTTAGGTTATTTTGTCCCTTTTAAGAACAAGCGTGATAACCCAGATTCTTGGGGTTTCCAGAAATCTAGACCTACACCAAAAGTGGGCATTGCCCTACCTATAGGAGAAGTTTGATTTCAGTGGTGTGTATATTTGTTTGGTTATAGAGAAAACTCTCCTTTTCTTTTAAAGAAACTGAATAAGGATCCACAAACGTTACCTTCAATTTTCTCAAAACAGCATTTTTCGGGATAGACCTAGCCCCCTTGTGCTTAAAACCCACCATTTAAGAGGCGGGACCTCCGAGTTTAACGTTCACCTCCGAAAGGAACGAGCTGAGTGGGAAATTCGTGTGAAGTGCCTTTTCCAAGGACACAGCGTCGCAACGAGCTGAGCCTCGTACCCCCGAATCCGCAATCTCATGATTACGAATCGTGTAGCCTGACACCACTCGATGGTCCTGTCTGCATGCAAGGGAAAACTATTTCTCCCCAGTTTCATTGTTAAGGATACCTTTCTCCTACTGTCATAAAGTATACTATGCATAAACAAAAGCAATAGAGGGAAAAAACCCAAGGAAAATTTAGATCTATTTTACTCTGTTTAAGATTGTCCTACTACTTCCCTACCTGCCACCGTTTTCAAACACACTCGCCCTTCCTCCCTCCCTCCCTCCCTCTCTCTCTCTCTCTCTCTCTCTCTCTCTCTCTCTCTCACCT